GCTCCCCCTTTCATACCGGTGAAGTGATTATTGGGCGCCATCACGCTACATACATTCTTTTAGTTTATGGTTTTACATGTTCAATTTAACTATAGATTTTCAACATTTTACAACTATCATTGGACAGCATCACAATTCTGATTTTGGCCAACAGTTTCTTGGATTTTCTTGTATTGGCAAGAATAGGAGCAATGTTAAGCATGAAAAGCTATGGTTCCACTGACGAGGTTACTAATTTTGTGGTTTTTGCACTTTGTAACAAAATGAAGCACTATTTAACCCAGTAACAATTTTGTAATTTCTAGAACTTTAATTCACACATTTATTGAGAGAGACATGTGGGATGTCATGCTGACCTGTTGAAAAATAGTTATCTTAAAGCAGACGTCCAGATTTATTTTCACTTTCAATAGTTTGTTTAGGTTAAGGTGACCCAAAGAAACTACCTCCATAACCAAGGTATTCTGCCACTACTGTATCATACATACAGTATGCAGCTAGGATGAGTGCTTCTTGGTCATTCAGGGGAATTCTTGTATTTTTATGAATGAATACAAGGCTTTCTCTGATTGCCCAAAATGGAGAGACTGGCAGATGACATCAAAATTTTGACCTTAGCCAGGCAGAGGAAGCCTTGTTTTCATTTAAAAATACAAGGTTACATGTTTGAGAAGTATTCAGCCCAACTCAGTTTTGTTCATTCAGCAGATGGGAAGTCATCCATGATGTTACTGAAACACAGCTCTGTATACTGTATGTAGCTGATGCTACTAGAGTATGATACAGCACTGACAGCAGCAGAAACATGGGCTTTGGCTTCAAAGTCAGATCTGAGCTGCATGCTTGTTCAAAGCAATTAAAGCAAATGTTATTTAAGCATGTGGCCCAATAATGAAATTACAGCTTCATTTTTTAAATTCATTTATTTTTGAGTATCAATTTACCAGCATTGTCCTATTAGAATAAGCCATATGTAGTTAATAGGAATGATATTGCCATCTTGTGACCAAATTCCATTATAGCACCAGCTATTGAGTTGTATTGTATCAATATGGTAGTGTGTACACTTCCGCCCTTCTATAAATCTTCTGACAATCACCTGACCCCCCATCGCTGAGGAAACCACGTGATCTGTGATGCAATACATCAGAGGACAGAACCAGGTGATGTCAATTCTGGTCGCAGTTGAGACCAGAAGGTTGTTTCATAGCACGTGAAATAAGTTGTTTATGGTCCTTTTTAATGTGAGTGGCAATCTTTATACATAATAAAATACATTTTAAAAACTACACTATGGGTGACTTAATTTCTCTCCACTAAATATATCTAGTACAAGGGAAAACTCAGAAGGATCCCACTGGAGAGGTCTTTGTGAGGAGTGACTGCTTTAATGTCAGACACCTTGGGTTGTGTACTGTTATCTTGGACCTATATGATAGTATGGGACTATTCTTAAAGTGATCAGCCACTTCTCACAGTATGGTGACGCACGCTATGCGGTTTGAAGCGGTTTCAATCCTACGAAGTGGAAAATTCTGGGATCTCTTGATACCAAGGTCAGGTAGACCAAGAAAGATTGCAGACACAACTGCCTGAAGATTTAATCAAAATACAAAGAAAAAACCCACAGGTAACCTCAGGGAGAAATACAGGCTGCTCTAGAAAGAAAGAAAAAAAAGATATGGTTGTTTCAAGGAGCACAATACGATACATGAACAAAAATGAGCTGCATGGTCAAGTTGTCCAAAAGAAGCCATTACTGTGCCAATACCACAAAAAAAAAAGTCTGGTTACAACATGCCTGGCAACATCTTGATATTCCTCACAACTTATGGCACACTGTAATCTGGAGTGACAAGATCCAAATAGAGCTTTTTGGTTACAACCATAGGCACTGTTTGGAGATAAAAAGATGGGTCAACAGCGACAAGAATACTATCCCCATTGTGAAGCATGGTGGTGGCTTAGTGATGTATTGGGGTGTGTGAGCTCTAAAAGCACAGGGAAAATAATGGCAAGATGAATACAGCATGGCATCAGAAAATACTGGCTTTGCATTCTTCTGCACTAAAGCTGCGCATAGGAAGCTCTTGTGCTTGGGGTCATTGTCATGCTGGAAATTCCAAGACCAAGTTGACAGTCCACTGGTTGCAGCAGAAAAAGGTGAAGGTTCTGGAGTGGCCATCACTGTCTCCTGACCTTAACATCAAGACACTATGGGGAGATCTCAAATGTGCGGTTTTGCAAGACAAAGACTTTGCAGGACCTGAAGGCATTTGGCAAGATGAATGGGCAGCTATACCAGCTGCAAGAATTTGGGCCTTAGACAACTACTACAAAAAAGATTGCACACAGTCATTGATGCTAAAGGGAGCAATACACAGTATGCAGACTTTTGAACAGGGGTCATTTCATTTGTTGCCATGTTTTGTTTTATGATTGTGCCATTCTGTTATTAGTTCATATTCAACTGTAGGTTATAAGAAATCAAGTTTTTTTTTGTTTTTTTTTAAATGGTACTGCATGTCACTATTTTTGTAGACGTTAACAATAGAACCCCCTCTGCATGTTCTGGTACAGGTTTCCAACAAAAGGAAAAAAACAGAAGGGATGGGCAAGTTTGAAAATATAGAAGCACAATTGAAAATAGAGTTGGTTTAGGGTAACTTCACAGTTAAAATTAAAAAAAAAAAAAAGCCAACATAGCTTTTTATGGAAAAAAAGTGGTTGTCTATCATTGAGGGATTTCTCATGTGCACATGTGAAATTTATGTCAACCTACCCAATAAAGACAGCTGAAGACTCCAGATCTTGAAAGATTGGAGCTTGTAATCACACACATGTGCAATATGGCAAGAGCTCCAGGAGGCCCTGAAATTTCAATGAATTTCATGAACAAGCATATCCCTCTATAGAGTGTACTTGTCTAATTTCTGGCTACTGCTTCATTTGTCTGCAATCAGCAATAATCACTTCTGATACCAAGAGAAAAATTGTGACAGGTGAGATCTCGAGGAGAGGGGAGAGAGAAAAGAGTGTCCAATCCGCTTTCCTTACTTAATTCATCTGTGTATAATTTCAACTCTCCCACTTTTTTCTAAATTCTCAAACAAGCTTTATAAATTCAGCACTTTGGATGTAGAGAAGACTGCAGCCAGACAGGTACAACTTATGTAGGAGGATTTGTTTCATCTTTGTGAATCAGCTAGTTCACTGGTAATATATATATATATATATATATATATATATATATATATATATATATATATATATATATATATATATATATATATATATATTTTTTTAAAAACACTAAATAAAAAAAAAGTTTAAAAAAGTGTTACTAAACCCACAACAGTAAAATCAGTCTGTATATGCAGTAAAGCATGCTTGTTGTACTCACTGTGGAACCTAAAAGGATAATCCTCTGCATTGTGTAAAAAAGCAGCTTGATCCCATCTTATCTGATCCTCCCCTTCAGGAGGCACTCTAGCAATACACAAACTGAGCATGTGTGGTGTTTTGGGTTTTCTTGGAGGATGCATGTGATCAGCATAGTCTAAGAGGGTCAGGGGTCACATAGCCTCAGAACAGTCAGAGGAGAATGACAACTCCTCTACAAGATTTAACCAGTGCTCAGACAGACACTGATAGAAGCACAAGACTTTTATATACTGCTGCTGAGAAAAAAAAATGAATTTAGTAGTTTACATTTACGTGTACTGTGGAAGACCAAATATAATGAATGCAGGATCACGGGTTTAGTAACCCTAAGTATAGTTTCACTTTAACTTTTCAGGTATAGACATAATTTTTATACCAATATTGGGCTGTAGCTATTATAAGCCAAACTCTTCCAGCAACTACTTCCTGGTTTAAAGCAAAGCCATGATTAGCTGAAACAAACCACATTACCTTTGCCATTGGCCATGGCATCTCAGTTCTGAGAGCTCCAACAGCAAATGTTTTTTCTGGGATCACACTGCCATCTGCTGGCAAGATATCTGTGCATCAGATCGTATCATGCGTTAAAAGTGTTTCTATTCCAAATTTTTGCCAAGTTGTCAATGCTACATTTACATATTTTGGTACCATAACATTAAAGTGTTAAACCCAGGACCCTGCATTTACTATATCTGGTCTCCCATAGTACACACAACATGGAAATGCAATTACAGTGGATATAAAAAGTCTACACACCCCTGTTAAAATGTCAGGTTTCTGTGGTGTAAAAAAAAAAAATGAGACAAAGAAAATCATTTCAGAACTTTCCACCTTTAATGTGACCTATAAACTGTACAACTGAATTGAAAGACAAACTTGGAATCTTAAAAAAAAAAAAAAAAAAAAAAAAAGATGCCATCTGGTTTCTAAAACCGCTACACCGCTTACAAGTTTTTAAGGGTAACCCCTCTTGGGTCTTTGGGTCCTGGACAGCGTCTAATAGACATTGGTTCTTTCTGGGTCCCAGAAGTTGGTGGCGCTACACGCTGTAGTTTTTTCATGGTTTATAAAACAACCTGACACAGCCTGATTTCATATAAAGTTTTTATTTGAATTGCAGCTTTACTGACAAAGGTTTTCTCTGGAATAATGGCTGCAAGGAAAAATAAATGAACTTCACATATATTACAGTAAAATGTTCCTGTTCAACTCCACAAGAACCCACAATAACTCACTGAGGAAAAAAAAAAAAAAAAGTCTGAAGCAAACAAAAGTTCATTTAAATTAATAAAAAGGCAACATAAGGCTTTAGGATTGTATACATGTCAATTAAAAGCATAAAGTCATTTAAGAAAAAAACATGTAATTTACATTTTTATACACTTTTTCATAGGTCCTTAAAATGTCCCCTATTCAATGTATCACAGATACATTTAGTATCATAAAATTGGTAGATCATTATGAATTTCAAAATGACAAAGGGGGACAAAAGAAACCCAATGATACTGGTGTAAGTTTTCTTCTTGGTTTATATCTTTGGGTGATTGCAAATACGGTCAGTTTTGCTTGTCACCTTTCAGAGCTTGTAGTCTTTCCAACAGGGGAGGATGAGAATAATGCCACATTGAAAACATCCAATCTGAAACTGGGAATCCTAAATTATCCTTATTTAGTTTAATTAGGGCAGAATATAAATCTCTGGCTTTTCCAAGATTCTTAGCAAAGGTATCAGCTTGGAACTCAAACCTCCGGCTCAGCACAGTCAAACAAAATGAAAGAACCTAGGGAAGAAATAAAAGAAGAATAACTCAACCCAGCATAGGTGAACAACAATACAAGATGACTGTCCATAGACAAACTTTAATGGCAACCATATAATGGTAAATCTGACCAATGTTCTTATAGTCACACCACTGTAACCTGATTGAACCATACGCTAAATTCTGGGCAAACAGCCATTTGAACTATAGGAGCAGTTTTATTTGAGAATTTTTTTTTTACCACTTGCCCTCCAGAGGATTTACGCCCTCTTCCTGATCAGGCCATGTTTTGCGATACAGCGCTGCATTACTTTGACAACTGCGCAGTCATGCAACACTGCACTCAAATTAAATTTATGTCCTTTTTTTCCCCCCACAAATAGAGCTTTCTTTTGGAGGTATTTGATCGCTAATGGTGAGCTATCTGGGGCAATCAAAGGGTTAACTGCTGATTTACTATGTGTGCTCTGTGTGTTTTACTAGGGAAACATACTGCTTTGTTGGTGTTGGCAGGTGAGAGATCTGCAACATGTCTGTGCTGACAGGTGAGAGATCTGTGTTATTTACATAGAGACCTCTCCCCTTTCACTGTTCCTCAGCGATCGCCGGGTTCTAGCGGGAAATCTCCAGCCAGCACCTGGTGATCGACAGCTGTAGCCGCCAAGGGCGGCGCCCCCCTACCCGGAAATGCAAAATTACACACGCACACAGTTAGGTCCATATACATTTGGACACAGGCACAAATTTTCATACTTTTGCTCAGTATGCCACCAGAATAAATTAGAACAAAACAATCCAAATTGGAAGTGCAGACTTTCAGCTTTAATTCAAGGGGTTGAACATAAATATCAAGTACAAATTTGAGGAACTGCAACCATTTTTATACACAGTCCCTCCATTTTCAGGCGCTCAAATGTAAATTAAAAATTAATATTTTATTTATGATTATATTCATTTGACCATTTTGTTGAGAATCCTTTACTGGCAATGACTGCCTGAAGTCTGGTAATGTCCATGGGTTCCAAAGACTGGGTTTTCTCCTGATGCTTTGCCAGGCTCTAACTGCAGCAGTCTTCCCTTATTCTTTCTTTGTGGGTCTTTATGCCTTTAGTTTTGCCTTCAGCAAGTGAAATGCATGCTCACTTGGGTTGAGATCAGGTGATTGACTTGGCCATTGCAGAATATTCCACTTTTCCTTCAAAAGCTCCTGGGTTGCTTTTGCAGTGGGTTTTGGATCATTGTCCATCTGTACTGTGAAGCACAGTCCAATCAACTTTGCTGCATTTGGCTGAATCTGGGCTCACAGAAGCAGCCGGAGGAATTCTGCAGAGTTTAGAGATGCTGTCTTCGGTCACATCATCAATAAACACCAATGACCCAGTGCCACTGGAAGCCATGCATGCCCATGCCATCACACTGCTTCCATGTTTTTACAGATGATGTTGTGTGCTTTGGATCATGAGCTGTTCCAACCCTTCTCCAAATTTTTTTCTTCCCGACATTCTGGTACAGATTAATCTTAGTTTCATCCATCCAAAGAATGCTTTTCCAGAACTGGTCGAGCTTTTTTTTTTTTGTCTAATCTGGCTTTTCTATTCTTCAGGCTTATGAATGGTTTGCACCTTGAGGTGAACCCTCTGTAGACTTCAACAATGATACGCCCACTTCTTGGAGAGTGTCCTTCAATTGTCTGGATGTTGTGAATGGGTTTTTCTTTACCATAGAGAGGTTCCTGCGATCATCCACCACGGTTGTCTTCTGTGAACTTCCATGCCTTTTTATGTTGCTGATCTCACCAGTGCGTTCTTCTTTCCTCAGAATGTACCAAACTGTTGATTTGGCCACTCCTAATGTTGCGGATATCTCTGATAGATTTGTTTAATTTTTGCAGGCTTACAATGGCCTGTTTCACTTGCATGGACAGCTCCTTTGAACGCATGATGTAGGTTCACAGCAATAGATTCCAAATGCAAATACCACACTTAGAATGGACTCCAGACCTTTTACCTGCTTAATTGATGAAGTAGTAACGTAGGAGTAGCCCCACACCTGGCCAGCTTTTGATTCAACTGTCCAATTACTTTTGGTCCCTTGAAAAAGGGGGGATGGCTTCTCTTAAGAGCTGTAATTCCTAAACCCTTCCTCCAATTTGGATGTACATACCCTCAAATTAAACCTGAGTGTGCGCGCACTTTCAACTCATATCCATTATAGAACTATAGCTTGAATATGTTTTGGTAAATACCTGAAAACACCTAAAATTGTGCCTGTGTCCAAATATATATTACCGGTGAAAACGCAAAAAATTAGATTATCGTGCAAAAGTTCATTTATTTCAGTAATGCAACTTAAAAGGTGAAAACTAATATATGAGATAGACTCATTACATGCAAAGCAAGATAGTTCAAGCCGTGATTTGTCATAATTGTGGTGATTTATGGCTTATAGCTCATGAAAGCCCCAAATCCACAATCTCAGAAAATTAGAATATTGTGAAAAAGTGCAATATTCTCGGCTCAAAGTGTCCCACTCTAATCCGCTAATTAAGCCATAACACCTGCAAAGGGTTCCTGAGACTTTAAATGGTCCCTCAGTCTGGTTCAGTAGGAATCACAATCATGGGAAAGACTGCTGACCTGACAGTTGTGCAGAAAACCATCACTGACACCCTCCATAGGGAGGGAAAGCCTCTAAAGGTAATTGCAAAAAACGTTGGATGTTCCCAAAGTGCTGTATCAAAGCACATTAATAGAAAGTTATGTGGACAGGAAAAGTGTGGAAGAAAAAGGTGCACAAGCAGCAGGGATGACCGCAGCCTGGACAGGATTGTCAGGAAAAGGCCATTCAAAAGTGTTGGACTTTCACAAAGAGTGGACTGAGGCTGGAGTCAGTGCATCAAGAGCCACCACACACAGACGGATCCTGGACATGGGCTTCAAATGTCGTATTCCTCTTGTCAAGCCGCTGCTGAACAACAAACAACGTCAGAAGCATCTTACCTGGGCTAAAGAAAAACAGACCTGGATTGTTATCCCCATAAAGCTCGTCTGCGGAAGGAAGCATGAAGTGCTCCAAAATCTCCTGGTAGACGGCTGCGTTGACCCTGGACTTAATGAAGCACAGTGGACCAACACCAGCAGATGACATGGCTCCCCAAATCAACACAGACTGTGGAAACTTCACACTTGACTTCAAGCATCTTGCAGTGTGTGCGCCTCTCCATTCTTCCTCCATACTCTGGGTCCTTGGTTTTCAAATGAGATGCAAAAGTTGCTCTTATCAGAAAAGAGGACTTTGGACCACTGAGCAACAATCCAGGTCTGTTTTTCTTTAGCCCAGGTAAGATGCTTCTGACGTTGTTTGTTGTTCAGCAGCGGCTTGACAAGAGGAATACGACATTTGAAGCCCATGTCCAGGATCCGTCTGTGTGTGGTGGCTCTTGATGCACTGACTCCAGCCTCAGTCCACTCTTTGTGAAAGTCCAACACTTTTGAATGGCCTTTTCCTGACAATCCTGTCCAGGCTGCGGTCATCCCTGCTGCTTGTGCACCTTTTTCTTCCACACTTTTCCTTTCCACATAACTTTCTATTAATGTGCTTTGATACAGCACTTTGGGAACATCCAACGTTTTTTGCAATTACCTTTAGAGGCTTTCCCTCCCTATGGAGGGTGTCAGTGATGGTTTTCTGCACAACTGTCAGGTCAGCAGTCTTTCCCATGATTGTGATTCCTACTGAACCAGACTGAGAGACCATTTAAAGGCTCAGGAACCCTTTGCAGGTGTTATGGCTTAATTAGCGGATTAGAGTGGGACACTTTGAGCAGAGAATATTGTACCTTTTCACAATATTCTAATTTTCTGAGATTGTGGATTTGGGGTTTTCATGAGCTATAAGCCATAAATCACCACAATTATGACAAATCACGGCTTGAACTATCTTGCTTTGCATGTAATGAGTCTATCTCATATATTAGTTTTACCTTTTAAGTTGCATTACTGAAATAAAATGAACTTTTGCACAATATTCTAATATTTTGAGACACACACACACACACGATATTGCGCAGCCCTGCAGCGGTAGTTCTACTATAGGGCAGCGGAGAACTGGTAAATTATGTGATTAAAAACACAACTTTGCAGGATAGCACAGCCAATAGGGCGACTCCAATTTTTAAGAAAATGAAGAAATTACTACAATAAAGTCACTGGGGTAGATTTACTAAAACTGGAGCACTCAGAAGCTGATTGGCCATCGTGCACAGCTGCACCAGATTCTAACTTCAGAGTGTTCAATTCAACTTTGGAAATAAAACCTGGAAGCCGTTTGGTTTACATGCAGAGCTGCACCAGATTTTGCACTCTGTAAAAGGCAAGGGGGGTTATTTAAATAAAGACTGTCGACTGGGCATTGAAAGAGCAGCAACAAAATGTATTCTGTTGCAGCTTACCAATCAGATGTTGTGGCTGCATCAGTTTTCGGTCTTTCTAGTTTTTACCTGGCAATCTGGCTAGTAATTCACCTCTTGTTTTACTGAAACACCACTCTGGATGAATGAGACAGGTGGCACAGCAAACAGCATTGTTAGTGTTGGGGGAGGGGAGTGTTAAATGTATTAGCAGATTTGAATACAACAATTTAAAGCCAAACTCCAGCTCATGCTTTAGAATCAGTTACAGCAAGAGTTTCTCTTTTGGGATAAAGGCTTTACATTAAAATTAAAGCTGATTATTTTAGTGACCCCTGCCAGTGGTAAATGGATTGTCTCATCCATGTTAACTTATGCATTCTGCTGGAGAGCTTGAGCTTCTGAAAAACATACTTGCAGGTTGGATCACCAGATGAAAATAGAAGAAAGCACAAAACAAAAAGCTAATGGAGCCATCACATCTGTAAATTGGTAAGCTGCAATCTAATAAAAGGTTTTCTTTTTGGTTTAATACTGCTTCAAACACTTCTCATGCTTCCTTCTGAGGGGGTGAGATAAGGAATTTATCTGGAAACCATACACATTGCCTTTAATTTCTATGTAGGCTATTCATATTTAGAAGACAGCTAACTCTACATTGCAATATTAAAATTTAAAGAACTGCCCACCAACCAAATAATCCCACAGTAAAAAGATAGCATTCACATTTGTGCAGTAGTTCCTTTCAAATTAATATACACTGATGCAATTAAAAAAAAAAAAAAAATAAAAGTTAGTGCTAATTGTTAAATTTTTATTGCTGAGCTTTCTGCAATACCTCATTGTATGGAGAAAAGATGAACTGAAATATGATCATCAGGCCTATGAGAGTGGGTTGTGCTGTGTGGAATCCGAATGCAGCGAAAAGTTCTTTCCGACCACTTAGCACAGCAAATAAAGAAAAACAGAGAAACGAATTCATCTGACAGATGAGAAAAAGAAAGCAATATTCAAACATTTTGAATATATAACTATGCAGTATATAAATTATTAATAATAAAAAAACAAAAAACACAAATGCTTTAACAGTTAGAAATCATGTTGAGGTGCTGTTGAATTCTAGATTCCAGATCAATTTAGGTTAAGCGGTCAATATTTTAGGATCCATAACCACATCATTAAAGCTCAATTATTTAAATTTTTTTTTTCCACAGTGTGGGGAAAGGTTAGTAACAGTCATGCTTCAATTACTGTGTAAACTACAAGTAGCATGTAAAATAAATAAAATTAAACTGTACCATTTCCTCTCACTGGCTGCTATGTCAATATGGCATCTGCTGGTCATGTAACATCTGGCAGAAGAAGCCATATAGTGTAATGGGAGAGCGGGTATTTGACACACCTGAAAGTGTCAGATATTAGTGGAATCTGCATCTGAGAACAAAGATTTACCACCCCCTAGAAGATGAAGAGACGAGTATTTATTTTTCAGTAGTAACAGGGCTACTTTTAAGATGAAGTTGGGTTTGAATTTTATTCCATAGCCACATTGGCCCCAGGTATGCGTCGCTCATATCCAAGTGATCCCCATGGAAGCTGCAAGTCACCGTAGTCGTTGCTTGCTTGGCACGTCTGCCGTTTACAGGCCACCTGGCATTTTTTTCAATGAATACAAGGTGTTCATTGACTGGACGATGTGAGGAGAGGCAGGTAGTGACGCCGTGATTTCCACCTCATCCAAAATCAGAGAATTACTTGTATTCATTTAAAGAAAAACAAAACAGTCTATCAAATGAATGATTTACAAACCCATTAATAAAAACACATTGGTAGATTGCCTGGGCTTGCTGACCTGTTGTGACATGCCATGGATAAAGGTGCAGGCATAGGAACTACTCCAAGGCATGTAGTGCCAGCTGCAAAGGGAGCAGAGCTGCGGCCGGAGAAGTTCAGCTGAGGAATCAGCGAGCCACATAAGCTGATGCCTCTTCTAAAGTTCCGGCAAGAATGTAAGGCAGAGTGATACCAAAAGCACCCAGCCTCTTATTCCTGAAAGCTGCAGGATCCGCAGCATGAAGCAGCACTGCATGCAAGGTCCGTGTCACTGGGCTTAAGGATACTGGACACAATAGCATTTTTATGGGCACAATAGCATCTATATGCTATTGTGTCCATAAAGCTGCTATTATGCTCATATAAACGGATATTGTGCCCTTAAAAATGCTGTTGTGGTCATATAGATGAACAGCAGTTTTCTGGGCACAAAATAATTTTTATGCTATTGGGCCCATACAGATGCACAATAGAAGCTATATGGGCAAAATCGCATTTATAAACATGGCTAACAATTATTAGGCAGTTTTCACAGTGATGCGCTATGGGTGCAGCCCAGTGCACCTGCAGCTTTCCTGTGGGTTAGCTGTAATTTAGCAACAGACGTCTATTATGTCCTGCGGGTTTGGTCTATTATGTCCTGCGGGTTTGGTGCGCTTTCCGAAAGCACACCAAAACTCCTGAATGCCTTGCTAGGTTAACAGAAGCCTGTGCCCAGTGAGCTTTGATTTCTCTTATGTTGTTCAGTTAGATCTGCACCTCTCAATGGCCTAGCCCTAATTTACAGGCTGTTCTGCCTACTTCGGTGCACAGCACACTAAAATGTACCTTAGTTCTGCCCCCCATCTCTGTTCAGAGTGCCTGCAAATAACACTTAATAACTGCAGGTATAAAGCCAAATTACAAGAGCAACTGTATATAAAAGAAAACCAAGGACATCATGATATACAGATAACTACTTGAAATACAAACACCACACAACAAAAAGAGCAAGAAAATGAAAATAGAAAAGTCACATATGGTTTTACTATCAGTAAATTTACAATAACCAAAAATTTTACAGTAGCCTATGAACCTACATTCTCTTGAACACAAAATACTGTAAATGTATATTCACCTGACTAATGACTATGTTCTTTACTGTGTGGCCCAACTTCCAGTGGCCCAACTCATGTCCCAGAACAGCCAAAACTTCAGGATTGTTGCAGCCTTGCTTCTTATTAGCGTTCTAGATTTGGAAACAAATTCAAATTGTGATAAATCACTGGTTAATAATTGAAGATACACTAGAGCACTGTACTCCTTAAAAAAACGTTCAAAAGACTACCAGTAGAGAATTCCTCCCAGACATAAAATAAGCCTTTAGAATACTTACACTGTTAGTCAAACCATTCTGTCAATGAACCAAAGATTAAAATGTTCACATTCAAAAACTTGCTTAGCAGACAGTCTACCTGTTAACTAGTTTAATTTCGATTTAGAATGGATCTTCCACACCTACCTGTCCAGTAACCCAATTCCCTAATATTTGTAATATAAATTGCCTTCTAAAAGGCCCTGAATTTCTCTTCCTTTCTAAATGGCCCACCGGAGCCTCATCATACAAAAGTAGAATTTTGTGAGAAGGTGGAAAAGAATTTGAAGCCTACAGGTTCTTACTCCAAGGAAGTGTCAGAATATTTTATTTCTTTTGCAAAAAGAACAAAAAAGTCCTGGTCACTACAGATGTTTTTCCCCCTCTCATTCTTTGTTGTACAACCTTCCTCTTTTAGGATTATACCCTCTCCCTCCCCGCTGTTTCTTGTAACTGCATAAAACCCAGGTGGGGTATATAAATAATTTGTTTAGGGATTAATTAGTAGGCTAAAAAATGTCCCTATTTTATGAACGGACTTTACCAAGGTTGGAGCAGACAGAATATGGAGCAGCTGTGCATGGGAACCAGCCACCTTCCATTTTTTACCACTTCAATACCAGGCACTTTTACCCCCGTCCTGCCCAGGTCTATTTTCAGCTTTCAGTGCTCTAACACTTTGAATGTGAGAATGTAACATGCTACATACATACTACTGGGGAAGTGATCAGTTTTTTGTTTGTTTTGTTTTTTTTAATACACACACATTATGATTGCTTATAGCAAAGAATTTCTTTGCTATAAGCAAGCATTTAACTAAAATTAAATCGATTAATTCAGGGTTTTTTTTTGTGTTGTGATTAGCTGTGATCGGCTATAGCTAGTCACATGACACAGATGGGCTGTGATTGGCCCAGTCTGTATATGTGATCAATCACAGCTAGTGACAATTTTATACAATGGATGGCATGAAAGGAAGCCATCCATTTTTTACAATTATGCGACCTGCTGTGAATGATCACAGCAGGTCACATGGTACTGACCATGGGCCGGTACACAGATCTGTCATTGGTCGTGTCCGAGGTACACAGCCAGTGACAGATCTCGCAACAGTGCGGCGTCGCAGGCACGCACAATCCAGGAAGGACGTCATGACGCCGACCAGGATTGACACAAGTCCCGCTCGGCCATCAATCTGCTATTGGCCAGTTGGGAACAGGTTAAAGCTTAACTGAAAAAGCTGAACCTAGACTTTTGCTGGTTACTACGCACAGCTGTTCCACATTCTGTTTGCTTCCGTTTTAGTAAATTCCTCCGTGTCATGCAAAGGCTATATTTTACATTGAAAGCTGCAACTTCCTTAGTGTCCACCTCCCTCTGACATGGTTTATACCCCAAAAGGAAACACAGCCTCCCTCAGTGAATGATACAGAAAATACAGGTTGCCATTGCTATTCGACTGGCTGTCATGGTCAGCCAACAGCTTCAAGAATGCGTCACTGACCTAAAAATACATATATCAGGAGTTGACATTTTTGGACTGAGATGGGTGTTAAAATCTAAAAAGGGACCACTTATCACAAGCTGAAGAACTCGTTTATAGTTACTTTTTTTTTTTTTTTTTTTTAAAGAGAATATAAAAGTAAGCCTACATGACTCCAGGGCTATCAATCTTTCAGTTGTAACAAACAGCCAAAAACAACTTGGTATGCAACTAATCATGAGTCCCATGACGGAATATTCCTGTCCCAGTAAACAGCCCTCAGCATTTCAGCTGTGCAACCCTAATTAAGGAATTTTCACTTTTAACTCACCTTGGCTTTCAACTTCACTTCAGCAGTTTCATTTTCTGAGGTCTCTTCTGTATCGTCTTTATTTAGTGGTGAGTAGTCCTCCAGGAGAGTGTCAAATAAAACAATCCTCTTGTTTTTAAAGAATCCATAAAAATATGCATTGCTGTGAGAGGACCGCTTTGAGCCTAGAGAACACAAATGTATCAACAAAATAATAAATAGAATCTTTATCTACATACCTATATATCACGAGGCTAGAGTTAAGACACCACAAACAGCCACCTTTTATAATTCTCTTCTTCGGCCAATGGCTGTTGATCTAGCTAATCAACTAAAAAACCAAATGAGTGGAAAATGTAAGGGAGCTGGAGGACGAAGAATGGGCAGAAATCTTAACGTCTAGTAAATTGGTCTCCCCAAAACTTTGACCGCCTTACACACCTATATAAAATTCTACATAGAGAATGCCTGACATCCCCCCAGTTAGGCAAGTATAGGCCTCAATATGACCCTTCCTGTCCTAGGATGTGGTGACCCTAGGAGGTTCTTTTTATCATCTAATCTGGTCTTACCCGATTACTCAAGGTTATTAGTCACAGGTGGTCTGGTTCCTACAAGACCGCATGGGCTCCCCATTAACCCTATGCCAAAAAACAAACAATGTCTCCTGGGACTTATCCCCAATAAGGACGGCGATAAACGTTTGCATGTTTTTCGTCAACAAACACCTGTTGTTGCCAGACTGTTGATAGCAAGGGTTTGGCTTAGGGCCTCGCCTCCAACAATTCGGCAGTGGAGAGCTGCCATTAATCTTACCTTATCCTATGGAGGAAAAATAAAATGTATGTATGTATGTATGTATAATTTTTATTTAAGTTATTTTTTTTGCAATATTGATAAATCTGAAGATTCATAATCTATATACTTTTTTATTTTCATGTATAGCATTGCCTCAGGATTTTGCTAACTGTGTAAACAAATCTTTTTGTCATTAGGAATCAGTTATGTTATGGAGTTATTTGTATTGCTCCTCTGTGTATTATGTTTGCCTACCTCTTTTAATAAAGCGCTTTTTGATACACACACAAAATTTATTTGGCAAATGCTGTGGGGTGAGAGTGTACAGAAGTGGACCCAGTTTCCTTAGTGGGAAACCTATTATCTGCATATATGTAGTTGAAATGGTGTCCTCCATGAAATACTACATTGTATGCAGCTATGCTACAGTTTCAAACTAGCTGGTGGAATACTACAGGCCAGCATTTTTGCCAACTGCCAGGTACATCCAATGGCTCCACAAACAAGAAACAGGCATGCAGCTCTAGATACAGCATGAAGTCAAAACTACAAATCTGCATACTCGTTTAGGGTCTCCATAAGGCGATGAAGCCATTGGATTAGATTGGTAGTCTCTCATTTCTAAATTAAAGCATTTATATTTAGTCAATACAGGCTTCCTTTAATGGTGTTAGTTTTAGAAATGGCAAATCTGGCTGCTAGCATGTTCCAAAGCTAGGCAGGTATCTCCGTTTACAAACAGATGCTTACCAACATGATAATGTGCCTCCTCACACAGTTACACTGTACTTTGTGAATAGATGGTTTCCTTTGATCCAGTCTAAGGCTATGTTCTCACAAATGCGTTTAGTTTTAAGTGGTTTCCTATGGAACATGTTCACATCTATGCTTTATTGAGTGGCTGCGTTTTTGGAAAGGGTCAGGGAAGCTGCTGAAATGCATGGTAGTGTGTTTTTGTCGCATTTTGCATTCTTATTCTACCCAGCAAAAAAAAAAAAAAAAAAAAAAAAAAAAACCCTACACAGGACAAAATGCAAAACGTTGTAAAAACATGTCAAACGCATCAAAACCGTGTAGAAATACGCAAAATGAACTGAAAAAGCACTGAAAAACAAAGGCAAAAAGCAAACTGCATTAGGTGTGAGAAGGCCTAAGAGAAGCAGTAAAATCTGTAACAAAGTATTCTACATAGCCCCACCTTCACATCAGGCCATCCAGTTAGCACTGACCTGGGCTGTGAACGGCCATTAAAAATAAAATAAATTTGGGCTACAATATGTGACTGGAGGTTTCTTTCCCCCAAAATCATGCCTCCAAAAAGATCATTACTTGTTGTCTAAAGTGGCGATAAAAAGGATATTTTTATGTTTTTCTGCCCAAATGCCAATCAGTTGGAAGAGAATATAATCTCTAGTACACCCATGTTACAATCCAGCAGTGCTATTACATTTTCTTTCGTAAGGTGCCTCTTACCTTCAACAACATAAACTTTGGTCAGTGGGAAGGAAATACTTTTTGCCATTGTTTCAATAGCATCCTTTAGCTCTCCTTCAGGAAGTGGGGTGAATTTATCAAATAAAGGTGCAATATAATCTGCATATATTGTCACAAGTACCTAAAATTAAAGGAAATAAATATTGGTATCTTGATGTGCAAGTTTTATATAAAAACAGGATGCAAGTACAGATATATTCTTACCAGAGACACCATCAGAGTGAAGAGCCATGCATAGACAAAGAAGTAGTCACCACCAATCTTGATTATATAAAGCAAGAGAGATGTAACTGGGAGAAGAATGCACTGAGTGACCAAGAATTTCTTTAAGGCATCCTTGAAGAAGAATCCAAGGGTCTGAATATACAAAACACACAGATCGAATAAAACACTGATATAGGGTTGTGGTTAAAAAGGTTTGTTATTGGCCTGAAATTCTAGAATAAAACATGAAATTCCCATGAGTACACAGAGTAAAAGCACTTTTTTCCTCATGTACAGTACTTTACATCTTGCATTTATTTTAGTATGTGAGATCTTCAGGTTTTACAGAATGTTAGGTCTCCCTGGTGAATGTGTGTAGCAATAAATCACAAGCAGTGCATCAATATGTGCACCTGGCAGTACAGAATTACTGGGAGCAACCACAGCTATTACAAACTTGTCAGTGGGTATTAAAGGAGATGGAAGTCAGCTTCCTAATTTTGAAGCTACCAATACGGAGGTCAACTTTAAACAAGAGAATTATATAATTAAGCCAGATTCCCTATACATCCTGCATGGCCACATTTTATAAGCAGTAATTCTGCAAAAAAGCAATGCTAACTGGTAAACACAGCAACTATGTTAAAATTAGAAAAATGTACTCAGACTGCCCTAATCGGAGTTCTAAATTTACCACAAGCACCCCAAATGCAGCTCGCTGAGTGTACCACCTAAAGCTTGTGCCGTTTAATCTTTTCTAAAGATCCATCGACACCAAGGCCGTCTATTGCAATAAATGCATTAGGTCACACACTGTGCATTACTGTTAAGGCAGCCCATTCAAATTAATTGCTACCCAAAGCACTACAATGGAATGAAAATTAGACATATAGAATGTTTACTAACGCCACACATGGCAGCACAAAAATCGGGTGCATTGCCTAAAAGCAAGGGTTCTCAACCTTAGGGAAACCAGGGCTCAGTAAATTCTATGCCCCAAAATGGACAAGATCAACAGGTAGACAGAGCTCAACCTGTTGCTGAGCCACTAACACACACGTCTATGCAATCCATAGCAAATGAAAAATAAAAAACCTAACTTATTAAAACATAAGCTATAGGGCTGATCCATTTAAAAAGGATAAGTTCACCTTTAGTAACACCTTACACCCATATTCAGGGTGTAATCCCACTAGCTAGCGGGGGATCTTCTCCCCCTACGCTGTCAAATTTAAAAAAAAAAAAAAAAAAAAAACACACACGTGGCTGTGCGGGGCTCCACCCACACAGCCACATCACTTATTCACAGTCATCTTGAATGAGAGAATACAATTCCCGATAGCACTGGTGGCTGTCAGCTCGTAGTCTTCAATGAGCTACCACAGCACTGTGATGCACCTTGGTAGTTTATTCTTCCTTCCTGTCAGTATATCTGCTTGCTTGTACATCCTGTACAGGCAAACAGATATACTGACAGATATCCAGGAGATCTGTATGGCATCAGCAATCTGCTGATCGCTGGTGCAGTGGTTTACACGCTCCTGCAGACGAAAGAAAATAAATAAATAAATAAAATGTGCATTTATTTTTTTTTCTAAAAGGTGAACTTATCCTTTAATTTGAAAAATAAAAATAAAGCACACAACTGCAGGGGTGTGTGTGAGATAAACTATAGGTACACACTTGTCATGAGTACCCCATGTGACCAAGCTGTTATCCCTCCGAAAGCAAAGCCAGTAAACAAAACTCAAGTTATTAGTCAAGCCTCACTGTAGGCCCCATCATGATTCCTAGCAGTTGGACTCCCATCTCCAGGAGCTGGTGGGAGTGTGGGACAGTACGCTCCTACCAAACCAGAGACCCTTTCTGCTCTAACAGCTAGAGTCTAGCTGTCAAAGCAAACAAAGCCAGGGCACAGCAGGCTGCGGCCCGGTGGTTTTTAGGTGGTAATAGCAGCACAGCACACATAAATGGTGTGCTATCGCTCAATACTGTAGTGAGAATGGATTCCCCAACATTATAAGCTTTTATCACATTCAAATTCAAATTTCCAGGTCATATTTAAACTTGACTGGAAGTTAAAATACAATGTTCACTTTTCTTTAACCAAGGCTGCAGTGGCAGTGTTTGGTAATAGATCTCCAAGCAGGGGTTTTCAGATCATCAGCTCAAATCAGAACGTACAAAAAGGAAATAGAACAGACTGACACTCCACAGCAATGCCAAGATGGAAAATTTAATTACTGATCAAGTTGGGTATATATCTCAAGGTTTCAAATGTTTTTACAAGAATACACATTAAACACATGCACAGGTAGTCTGTATGCAATAATACCTGCTGAAAATCAGAACAGATTTATAAAATTAAAAAAAATACATTAGGAAAACAACAACTGGAAATCAAATTACTACAATGGAATAGATTTAATAAATCAGCCTCAATATTATAGAAGAGTAAATGTATGGAGGACACGGATGATGGTAGGAAAGTGAACATGCATTACTTTAACTATAGCAACAGCATAATTCCACAGAAAAAGGGAACTGTTTGGCACTGCCAATCAACCTGTGGCAATAATTTTGGAGAGAAGTATGGTAAAAACGTATGACACATAAAAATACATACATCCCCATCCTTGACACCTAACACATTCTCACCAATTAAGAGCTAACACCGGAGTGGAACAAGATCAAAATGACAGGCTCTCACCCATCATTAAGCATGGTGTTGCTCATCCTCAGTCTTCTCAGCTCAGGTGTCTGTCCAGACCAGGGCTATGTTTACATGATCCTCCTCATACTACAGGAGAGCAGATAACCGACTCATGGGTAGAGTAATACTGTATATACTAGGTAAAACAATCCCAAATATATACCCAGTTGTGTAGATAAAGAATCCAAGCCCTCTCAAACAATTATCTTTATAGGAGCACTGGTATTTATCCAAGCTGTTAAAAATGTACAGATATAGCATCAAAGACAAAATTAAATAATAGAGATTAATATAAAAATACACAAAGTTAACTAAGGCTTTGTGAGTATACTCCATTAATTAACAGCTTGTCAAAGTCTAAATCTACTTTTCTGAGCATGTTTCACGTTACACTCATATTTAAAGAGTCTGCACAGCCACCAACCATCAATTCTTTCCTCTTAGAAGCCAGGGGTTCATCTCCCTGCTGGCACCTGGAAAATTTGAAATATACATGGCTGTGCTTGACCCAGTCTTCACAACCACATCATTTCTTTCACAGGAATGAAAAAAAACAATGAGTTCTGTCTGCCACTGTGGCAAAGGGATACAGTTCTCAGAGTACAATTGTGATGATATCACTGCACTTGTAGCACCCCACTGTAGCCCACTGACACTACCTCTAGCCCTGTAACTGAAGATCTGTATGTCGGTATGATCAGGCAGATGAAGAAAAGTGTGCAGGAACCAGATCATTGCACCCCCAATCAATTAATCACGGCTACAATGCTTTCCAAGACCCTATGGAAAAAAACAGCAACTGCTACAGGTAAATATTTTTTTTTTCCTTTTGCAAAATGGGGACTTCTCTTTTAAAGCCCTATCATTCTTTAACTAGAATTACCTGTTGGGGGGCGGCGGCGGAGAGCTCGTGGTAGGAGCTCTAGCACGAGTCTCCTCTGACCGACCCCCTTTGGCCTCAAATCCCCCAGATGTATGGAGCTCCAGAAGGCTGAGACTTACCTCGGCCTGGCGGGCTTCCTTGGATGAGCAGCGGCCCGCGGGAGGGAGAGCCGGGGAGCTGGAGAGCAGCGGTGAGAGGCTGGGTCTGGTTGCCGGGAGACAAGGAGGCGCGGCCGGGGACACGTGACCAGCCGCGGTGCATCCCTGGGAGGCAGGGAAGCCGGCCGGCCGGAGGCCGATGGGGCAGGCGAGAGAGATACCGAGTTGTTGGACGGCCAGCTACCCCTGGAGCCCTATCATTGCGCCGACAGGGAAGAACAGCCTTGTCCAAAGAAGAAGAGAGTGGAGGAAAGCCCTGGAGGGTCCCCCTGAGAGGAGGTGGAGAGGAGCTGACCTGCTGAAAGAACTGGAGGAGGGAGCCTGGAGCCGTCTCACGAAAAGAAAAGCGCAAGGAGGGTGAGTGAGTCTGGCTGTGGCTTCACACAAAAAATCTGTATTTGAGTCGGTGGGGAAACAGAGTGAGAGAAAAAAGGGGGGGACCCCCAGAGAATATAAACAAGGAGAAGAACGTAATGTACAGGCAAAAGTTTAAAGAAAAGTGAATGGACAGGGCTGGGACTTCCATATCATATTAACTGCCTCTTCTTAAACACAAGTCTATGAGAGAAAAATAAAAGATATAGAAGAAATGAAAAACAAAAGTGCAAAAGGAACCGGGCCTAAAAGGGACCCAAACGGGTACAATTAAAAATATATACATCCCAGGGAAACGTGACCCCGGAAAGGCCCCAGAGTAGAAAGGGATAAAGGAGAATTAGATCTAAATCTGCAAAATAGTCCTAGACAGTCAATGGATTTGGATATCAGTCAACAAATATCAGAGTTGAAAAAAGATCTACAAATTCCAAATAAAAAAGATGACAGAAATGTTTTAAAGAATTGGAGAGAACAATAAAGCAAGAAATGGTAAATATTCGGAATGACCTGGGGCAGATATTGTTAAGAGTGGAAGAAACGGAGCAGAAAGTTAATAATCAGACCCAGATTATTTCCGAATTAGAAAAGAAGATAATAATATGGAAAAAGTCTAGGGAAAAACTGCAGTATAAAAAGGCGGAAATCCAAGAGAATAGAGAAAGAAAGGAGAAATATAAGGATAAGAGGGGTATCGGAAAGTCTAAAAGAAAAACACTGGATGAGGCGGTTTGCAAAATACTGAACTTTATAAACGGGAAACTCTGATATGGAAAGGACTAATATAGAAGGAATCTCTAGAAATGGGGAAACTCCAGGGGAACTATGAGGACAGGCCAAGAGATATACTGGTTTAAATTTTATGAACTTCAGCAAAGGGAAAGAATCTGGAGGAAAATTAAGGAAAGCCAGTAATAAAATATGGAGAAATGAATTATCCAGATATATGCGGACTTGTCATCGGAGACTCTCCGGAGGAGGAGAGCTCTGAGGCCTTTGTTGGAACAGATGAAAAAACAGAAGGTGC